ATAAACTACCTCAAGCCCCTTTAGAATATAACATCAAAATTTAAAAAATAAACAGAATAAATGTAAAATTGCTTTGTAAACTATACAAATATAAGTCATTTTGTGTAGGAAAAACAGGCCCATATACTTCATAAGCTATAAAAACTTTGCCTTATTATTAATATAAAGCAGGGCATGTTGGCACATACCTGTAGCTTCAGCTACTCAGGAGGCTAAGGTGGGAGGATTGCCTGAGGCCAGGAGTTTGAGGCTGCAGTGAGCTATGATTGTGCCTGTGCATAGCCACTACCTTCCAGCCTGGGCAACATAGGGAGACCCCATCTGTTCTTCAAAAATAAATAATTAAAACAAAATGCATATCCTAACATGTCATTCTCCTACATTTACAAAAAGATTTCAGTGGTTCCATGTCATCAATGGCAGCAGTACTTAATACATTTTTAAATTTGTGAACCCATTTTAGAATCTGATTTCCTTAGAAAAATGCATATATTCCTCATTTTTGCACACGAAGGTGTTCTGGATTCCCCTGAAACCCATCTATTTAGTTCCTTAAGATTCCATGGCACAATAGCTTTAGTAAACTTTTGTTGAATGCATAAAAGTATAACCTCCTTAGCATGTCATGCACTTCAGCTTCTATGACCTCATCCCTGCCTGCCTCTTTAGCCTCATTTTGTGCCTTGCAGTTTCATTCTTTACATGCTAGTACTATATGGGGGTAGTTTCCCCCATAAAACTGCTGTTTCATTCTTCTGTGCCTTAGATCTGCCTGCCTCACTTTTATTTGTCCTTTAAGACTTATCTCTTCCAATGAGTTTTACTTTTTACTTTTCTTTCCAACCACCTTACCACCCATCATCTCCAACCCCCTAGAGGTCTACGTAATCATTTCTAACGTCCCTATATACCTTTACTCCTCTGAATTAAAATTAGTTATTAAGATTTCTTTCTTCTTTGGAATATAATACCTTAAGGCAGGGAACTTGCATCATTAGTATCCACAGTATGTGCAACTCAATAAACTTGAATTAATTTGAACTACCTAATGCTTGCCTCCCACCACCCACTGTATCCATTACTGCTTAGGTCTTGTCACTCCTCTGTTTAAGAGTCTTAAGAGGCTCCCCTGTTCTCTACCAGATAAAATTTTAAATTCTTAGTGTGATACAAAGGATTCTTGTCATCTATTTCCTTTCTTTCTTTCCAGACTGATGTCCTCCCATTCCCTTACATGCACAGAGTTCATATATTATGAAACTCTGATACTTTTAATATTATAAACATTGGGTAACCCTGCTTCTTATCTCAGTATCATTGCATGTGCTATTACTTCTGCCTGGAATACACCATTTCTCCTCTATTTCTCTCCTCCGAAAGAATCCCTTTTCCTTTTTGAGACTTAATTTAAGCATCATCTCCTCTGCTCTCTCATGCCCCTTGTGTATGACTTTCACACCTAGACATATAATTACAATATAGTTATTTATCTCCACAGTTACATGGTTAAAATCTCTACAATATAATGTCGTTCAACCCTGGTTTCCTCATCTACCAATCTAGTGTGGTACATAGTAGATTCTCAATAAATGTTTGCATGACTGAGAACATGTGAAAAATTGAATTCAATGAACTTGTTTGAAGATATCTAACATTTTTAAATTAGTATTTTATTTTTAATTATTTATTATAGAGATGAGGTCTTAGTATGGTGCCCAGGCTGGTCTTGAAGTCCTGGCCTCAAACAATCCTCCCACTTTGGCCTCCCAAAGCACTGGGATTACAAGCTTGAGCCGTCAAGCCTGGCTAAAGTTAGCTGACATTTTAATTTTTGATATAGTTTATTGGTATCGTATGCCTAATTTTAATTTATATATTGAATGTTTTTACATTTGAGTGGTTTATTTGATTTTCTAAGAACATCTTAATTTTAGGTATTTCAAAATATTTAAAATACTAGTTTAAAAAATAAAACACAATCCTGTTTCCTAACATTCAAAATTTAATACTTAACATTTAACTTTTTTTATGTTTCTTTATATTAAGGCCTATTGTGTAACAGAACCTGGAGCAGGCTCTGATGTAGCTGGTATAAAGACCAAAGCAGAAAAGAAAGGAGATGAGTATATTATTAATGGTCAGAAGATGTGGATAACCAATGGAGGAAAAGCTAACTGGTATGTTGTTTAAAGCATCTCTGTATGTTTCTTCTTAATTACTTTATCAGAATCTTCCCTTTCTTCTTCTATTT